AATGTTTACTTTCACACGTCTCTTGTCCCATTATTTCTTAATTCGCGCTTCGTGTTTTCAGAATACAAATATTTGTGAAGCTTTGCCATCGCGTAACATCCTGTCACGAAGTTAGTGTTGCTCGCAATAGAATTTCCCGCGGGAATTTCCCTTTGTACAATAATATTTCCCCCGGTTCTTCTTTCGTCACTGCAAAAATTTTTTCGTTCCATCCCAAATGCGCATGTATTTCTTTTATCATGAATGGAAATTCTACGCTGCTAGAAAATATATCGTTATGGTGATAAATCGATGCAGTATAAGTTTGTTATCGTTGTTAAATAAATATCTTGAGCAAAATTTTCTCTTTCTCTCGTTTGAGAATTTAATTGAAAAAAAAAAAAAAAGAAGAAGCTCTTCGTTACGACGCTGGAACAATAATACCGGCTATTGAGAATGAAATTATGACCGAGATATCTGAGGATTTATATTCGTCGTCAAACTTATTCAGAATCTATTAAGGAAGTAAAGAAATTTCAAGGGAAATTTAAATCGTGTATTTTTGATCCAAGCTCTTAAGCTCGAAGGAATCTCTTCCATAAAAAGTGTTCATCTTGTAAGAAATTTTTGCGATATTTAATCCCTAAGATGTTCAAGGAAGAGTGAGTTAAATAAATTTGTTCAATTCTATTTTTAAAAATGATGTACAAATATTCATCAAGCATCAAACATATTGTATCGAAACAGTATCAGAAATGAAAGCAATATGTCATGATGTTATTGATTTTGCTGTATCAATTAATTTATTTGGAATTTTGTTATTTTTCTCACGTGAAATTCAAAATCAAAATCAGAATTTGAAGGATTATTTATTTCGTAAAAGAATTAGTAGTAGTAGAACAAAGAAAAATTAGCAAAAGATATCTGTGCAAATATTTATATTATTTATAATAAATTTCTTCTTCGTTCTAATATAATTTTTGAATAATAAAATTAATAAAAATACGAAATTTAATAGATGATATCAATCCATCAAATTCTATCTCCGAATAAATTCGTAGCATTTGAAAACAAATTATTTAATATATTGATTTTAATCAGAAAAATAGACTTTTCATATAACATTTTTCACAGATGGTATTTATTTTGGAATACCAAATTATTGAAAAATTTCACGAAAGCGTAGATTATTTAATAAATTCTATTTTAAATCGACGACACAAATGCAATTACGCAAATATATATGCATGAATTTATTTTATGAATATATATTTCTATCGGTATTATTTTTTGCTGTTTATTCACACAGATATATGTCAATAATGTGATATAAAAGTTATCATATTGAATATCGTCATGAAATAAAATTGAACAGGAAAAATTAAAATTTTTCTTTGTTCGAGCATCTATTGACCGTTGCCACCAAAATGAAGCCCCGAGTAAACGAAAGAGGAAAAGGAAACGAATTCGTTTCTCAGATGAGAATTTCCCTTTTCACGAACAGTCATTCCTTCATTCAAGTAGCCTCGAGCAATTTCGCGTTATACAACACTATCGTGATAGTGATGATAAGTATAACGTCGTTTATTAATCCTTTGCAACCCTATATCAACATTTTAATTTTTATTTCACACTTTTTTATAATTAATTTTCTATAATTCAAAGTATATAACATTTATACTTTATACTATGATTATTTAAAATTAGAATTAACGCTTCCAGTTGGATCCTGTTAATGATAATTTTTTGCAAATAAATAAATATCTCCCTATAATATATTTACCATAGTGATTTATTCGTCGATCAAACAATAGTACTTGAAGTTGTCACTAGATAGCGCGGAATCGGTTCTTACTGCTAACTATGACATTCTTTGAATTTAATATTGTCGATTGTTGCCTTTCTAACATAGTAGTAACATATACAAGACAATATGTTATCACTAAACAAACTTTCTTTTTAAATTATCGGTGTGATATAATTTCTTTATTGAGATACAATATTATAACTCAAAATTGAATTTTAAGTAGCTAATAGTTATTAATAATAGCTTATTAGTTATTAATATCTTAGCTTTTACCTAAATATAGTTTTAATTCTAGTTAAAATTAGACTACGATATTTAAGTTTTTGTTTTCTAATTTTAACTTAAGTTATAATAATATTTAAATTCTCTTAAATAATATTTAAACTTAAGTTAAAGTACTGTTTGGTTTAGTATTAAGTAAATTAATAATAATAATAATATTTAAATTTTATTTAATTTAGTTTAAGTCCTTAGTTTGACTTAATTTTCTAGAATTAAGTTTTGTAATTAGTTCTAAAGAAATAGTATATTCGTATCAGGTTCGATCTCGATGAAATATAAATGAAACTTTCACGGTGTTGTAAGATTAGAATTATTAATTAAATTCAGCAAACCAATTCGCGCAGACTCGGCACCACACCAGTCTAAAACATAGATATATTATGAATATCCGGATATCGCGGACAACTATGGAAGCACGTTAATATTATAATCCTATGAAAATATGATTATAAATCTTATTATATAGTTTAAAGCGATATGATATATTAAATACGATATGTTATTTCATTTGTAGATAAATTCAATCCGCTTATTTGATATTAATTCATCATTAATAACTTAGTTTAATTTGTGACAGCTTCGTAGTTATATTCATACAACATTTATGATAGAGGGATACATGAGATGGCTGGTTTCTTGCGACATGAAACTTTCGCGTGAATAATCTGAATTACGTATTACAAATACGCGAATTATGATGCTATTGGATTTCAGCGTTCTTGCATAAACACAAATCCGGAATCAGAATGCAATCGATGTTAGCACAGCTGCCAATTCGGTGAAAATATTTGAACGCAATTGTAATCGTGTATGCCAGTGTGTGTGAAAAGCAATATGGGTCGTTAATCATATGGTTGATTAATAATAAGCACGAATGCAAGTTCATTCATTGTATTGGCGTTATTTGTTTATTTTAAAACTATCTATAATAAACAATGATTTTATTATAAATGATTAGATTGAATTACGTGTATTTATAGTAACAGAAATTATTTCAGTATTATTGGAGAAACGTGCAGATACGTATACGATCATATAATTTCAGAAACATTAAGCTGGAATGGATATATCAAAAATATGGGTATAATTTAATACAACAGATAATTTAATAACAATTTAATAAATATTTAAAACATAAATGTCATAAATATGACATTTTAAAATAATATATAGCAGTTGTAGCTTCTTCAAAATTTTTATCCAATGAAGCATCAGATATACCACATTAGTAACAGACCAAATTCATAGCATACCATTCATACCATCAATGCTAAAACAGAAGATTGACTACATACTCGGCAAACCTAGGAAAGCTAGCATATTCTTGAGATCAATGACACAATAAACATTCTTAGAGGGGACATATTTTAGAACTCGTGATCTCCTAGAAGAAGATTTTTCTCTTCTTGCGAATCTGGATGATTCTTTTGCTGAAGTACTTTCTCCAATTGTTTGTTCATATATGATATATTTTGAAAATCTTATAAAATTCCTGTATTTTCCAAGCATCGTGAATCTACTGGATCTCAATGATTTTTTTATTTTTTTTCTCAAAAATTTATACTTTCTCTTGCATCTTCAGATTAGATATGATATATTCTGTGTATGATATAAAGTTTATCGCTATATTACTATATCTATTTTAGGTCATAGATTTGATAACAATCTTATCTAGTTTGCATGATTTGTCTATTATTGTGTACATAGTACATATTGGTATCTTGAACATGGACCTATTAACACGTTGTATCTGATTGATTTGACAGTATACAATTTGATTGATTTAATATTATATCTATATTGGGTCAATATTGAATCAAATAGGTTTAATAATGTGTATGATGCATATAGTATTTATTTAGTGTATATGAATCAGTTTATCTCAAAAGTTTCAAGTGTATTTTCTATGATAAAATGTTTTTGGATTGTGAATTTAATTTAATTTATATAATCGAGGGTGATGTATTTATTTATAAAATATATATATATATATATATCAATAAAAAATTTTACAGAGAAACATTTCGTGTTATTTATTTTCAATTTGTAATTTGTTGTTTGAGTTTGAGTTTTATATTTTTGAACTGACGTGTTTAAACTTTATGCCAAAATGGAATATTAATGATTACATGCAAGTGTCTGATATTTTTTTATACAAATTTTTATATAAATTTGTTTGTCTCTATCTCTCATAATTTAAATCTCTTTTATTATTAATGCGTTTTCTGTTTTTCTGTTTCAAATTTTGCAAATCTTTTTGTTTTGAGAGAAAAGAACTAAATAAGATATCAAAATTTGTAGAAAGAAATAGAAGGAAAAGTTTGATATATCTATTTATTGTTAGTTAATTATATAATAAGTATATGTATAATATTTGTAATATTTTATACATATACTTATTTCTAATATTTTAATTAATATATTTATTAATTGAAACATTTTAATTAATATATTTATTTGATTAATATATTGATTGATATATTTATTATTTATTGTTAACCTTTTGCGCTCCAACGTCACTTTTGACTATCAAACATCACTCGGTGTAATACGATAACTCCAGAGATGATTCTCCGACATCACTTGGATTGATATAACAATTCGAACGACGACAATATTTATTTATGTTTGATTTTTTAAAAATATCATGAATAGACTCCTAAGCTATTTAAATATAATCTTATAAAGTGTAGAATAATATACTAATATACTATAAATGATTGATTTTTTTAACATGTTTATAAGTTTGATAAACAAAGATTTTTGTTAGATTTTTTTAAAAAATCTATAAATTTTGTTCGATAGAATTATTAGATATTATTAGATATTATGCATTTAATATAATGAAAAGCAAATGTAAATTCCAAGGTAAGATGCCAAGATTTATTTGTTACTAATATAAGATATATTAGTAATCATATGTTAAGTTTTATAAGATTTATATAGCATTTGCTTTTATCCAATCAAGGTATGATACCACGCGGGTATAAACAGTTGGATAATCAGTAAGGGCACAGCCCATTGCCCATGAAACGAGACCAGTAAGTTTTCCATCGACGGTCAACGGGCCACCAGAATCACCCTATATAAAAAGAAAAATATAAATTCAATTCCTGTAAAATTCTATCTCTGATATTGCAAAACTTTTCAAATTGGAGAAAAGCATTTTATTTTTAATTCCATTTATTTCAATAATAATGATAAATAAGTAAAAAGAAATTATAATAAGTAAACGAAACGAATTAAATAACATAAAATTATTAATAAGATAGATTAATAATAAAGGATTGAGTAAATTGCAATCCAAGTAACATTGGAAATTCATTTTATGAAAATTCAATAAAAAAAATAATTATCTCTCTTTCTCTCTCTCTCTCTCTCTTCATGATTAGAATTATAAGAATGAAATGATTAGAATGAATAAATTAGAATAAAAAGCCTAAAAAAGCATTAAGGAATAAAATTATTAAAATTATATTAAATATAACTTTGACGAACTTACGTTACATGATCCTTTTTCAGTAGTTGGATCGTACGCACAAATTTGTGTTTCGTAGACATTGTAATTTAGTTTGCTATACATTAACTCACAATATTCTTGATTGGCAATCAGAATATTTACTCGTTGTAAGTAAATGGTTGTTGGTCCTCCTTGCTGCAATTCATACAAAACAAAATTATCCTGTAATATTATGTATTACAAAAGTTTAATATTACATTTATATTGTTATATTTCAATTCATTATAAAAAATAAAAATAAAATTGAAATGAAAAAATATAATTTTATCATAAAATAATAGTAAATTTTATTTACACTAAGTCTACCCCAGCCAGAAACAGTTGCCAAATCATTTGCTTTAACAGTGTCATTTAGTGAGGGAAGAGTGACGAAGGAACTAATTTCGATTCTACAAATGGTGTCTTAACCTGTAACAAATAAAGCATAATAATAGAATTTATCTCGTGGTGTCAATTATCAATCATTTAACTTTACCTTGAGCAATGCTATATCGTTTTTCCACGAATTTGAAGAGTTATATTTTTCGTGAATAATGATTTTTTGGACATCATTCTCGTATCCTGGAGTAGCTAGATTGATCATACCAGCTACGACTTTGATATTTGGGGCAGATTTACTAGTAAAAAAAAAAAAAAAAAAAAGAAAAAAGAAAAAGAAAAGAATGAGAAAGAAATTGAAACACTTTCTTTTGATATTTTCTATTTTCAATTCTTTATGAGATTCTAATAATTTTGAAAAATTGATAATTTATAAAAGAATCTCCTTGCATCTTTTGATAAAGATGATTATCTAGAACAAACAATTGAAAAATGATAATCGAAAGGAAAGTACATATTTCAAATTTTATATTGTAAAAAAATTAGAGTTTCAGGGAAAATTGAATTTTGAATTGTTTAAATCGTTATTATTACAATATATAACGATACATCAAAGTTTCAAATAGACAAAGTTGAAAATTGACAAATTTTATCAATAAAAAGTGTAACTATTGTTTTTTCTGTATCAATTATTTAGAAAAATTATATTTGATTTATATCGTTGTTGCAACAGATATGCGATATGATTGATTGATTATCTATTATTTAATTGCACGAAGTATAACAAAAAAAATTAGATCAGCGTGTATTTTTACTTCGTTTTCGTGAAATCACACTGTCGTTCAGAAATTTTAAAATATTTCTGTATTCTCAATTTTCAGAACTTCAATATAAATCATAAATTCATAATCCATAAATTATGCATGCTTTTCAATTGAAATCATTAATAACGAATTATTATATTACGCGTCAAGTTAAATAAATTTCTCTATATTTTTAAACTTTTGAGAATAAATGAATATAATAATTGTTCTTTTAAGATAAGGCGTGATATATCGATTTTTAGAATTAGTTTTGAAGAAAATATCTTTTACTGACTTACCTAGCCACACAATGAGCCGCTGTAATCACATAATTTTCATTTAAAATTGATCCACCGCAGAAATGAAAGGAGCTTAATTTATTTTGCAGCGATATCTAAAAATGAAAAAAAGTAATTTCTAGTAAAAAGATACATGATAGATGTTTTTTTTTTCGACAAATATTTTTATTAAATCACTTGCAATCTTTCTCTTCTTGATTCCAAGTTTATTATTTTTTCTTTTTTTTCCTTTTTAATATCTTTAATTACGAAATAACTTACTTGATATGGGATTTCTCCTTCTTTGGCATTCTCCCCATTCACAATGCGTGGATCGTAGATGCGAGGTAAATATGTAGCTTAAAAATCAACAATTTAATTTAAATCATTAACGTGACGAATTATGCAGGATGTATATTTATATACAGTATTAATACTAGATTTTGTATGAGATTTAAAATGTTTAAGAATTTTAACACAATTCTTTATATTTAAATCGAATTTTCGATCAATTTTTAATCATTGATTGATTTCTAATAATGTTGAAAAAAAAAAAATCGACGAATTGATAGAAAAATAATAAATTGATCGATATTACACGATTTAAGTCTTCTCGTTAATCTTTCTTTTTAACAAAAATTATTACCATTGGTTAAAGTAATGATGGCAAATATTGCCAAACTTCTTTTGTATATCATTGTCATTTAAACAATTAACTGAATTGAAATGTCACGGAAGATATATTTTATAGCTAAGATATATAATATATAATTTCGTTAAGATTAGATATCATAAGATTAGATATCAATATCAAAACTCATTTCTTAAATATCAATATTGAGATTAATTATTTGTTTCTTAAAATAAAGGGAGAAAGCTGATGATTAATGTTGAAGTTTCTGAATCTCTTAAATTTATTATAATTTCTTATCCTCGGTTAGAAGAAACTTTTAATTAATACGTTAAGCAGTTAAATGATAATTATATTAATATAATAATATAACATTAAAATTTTACATAGAATAATTTACATGTAATTATTTATTATTTGCTTTCAATAATATTTTTCGAATGAATATTGAGGAATGAAACTTAATATTTAATAATTAAGTAAATTAAATAATATACATTTGCATGATTATTGTTCATTTGTGCTATATACATATTCTATAAGAATATGTGATTTCAAATAACGTACTTTGGACTTTTTGTTAATTAATCTTCGAGAATTTTGATAAATATTTATCGAGGATTTTGATAAATATTTATATCATTGAATATTGATATCATAAAAGACAATTTTTTGAAACAATAGTTGCTATAGTTAACGTATTTAATTGATATAATTGTTTAAATGATATATTTTAATAAAAATTAATTTATTTTGTATAAAATAACGTTGCTTATAGATTTGTGTATTATCTTGATTATCTTGGCATTCTAATATAAATTATATTATTAAAATTTAATTCTTGTTTTTATTCTTTTTAGAAATCTTCTTTTTTTTGTAATTTTTTGTAATTATCTGTATTTTGTATCTTTTTCCAATATATTTTTAGATGTATATATTATAAGATATTAAAAATATATATTATATTAAGGTATAAAAGAGAATTTTATTATATTTTATTATATATAACATATTAGAATCATTATTATCTAAAAGAATTTGAATTTGAATCGAATACTTAATATCTTATTTTTAATATCTTATTACTTGAAAATAATAAAATTCGGATATTTACAAACATTCTTAAAGTTTAAAATTAAAAAAAAAGATATAGCAACATTATTAGATAGAAATTAGACTTATACAATACATTCAACAATACACAATTTTAAATAAAATTCCTAAATATCAGTGTAAAAATATGAAACGATTTCATATAGAAATATCAGTGACATTTAAACAAATCTCAAATATTTTCTTCTTTTTGAAAGATACAACAATATTTTACAATAAAATTTAATTTCTATTATTAATTTTTATAACATCATGTTATAACATATCATTTTTAACTTCTTTCCAAGCACAAAGATTTAAAAGAGATGATTTTCATGTGCACAAATAGAAATTCTGCATGAAAGACACGTAAATAGTACTGTTTTTCCTGCTCTTTTAAACATATCTTTTATTTTAATAAAACGCAATATACGATCATAATATCTATATATGTATATTTATCTTTTGGATATTTTGCAATTCATAATTTAAACTTATAATGAGAATGGCTATCAATATTTGTATAGCATATATCGATATGTGATCGATTCTCTTAATAATCTTATCCATCATTATGATGATTTATTATATCTGAAATAAAAAATCTTGTATCTTTATTATTTACTAATGTAATTTATACTAGGATTAATTTATGCTAGGATTATTATTGTCGTTATGATTTTTGCTTTCGATGATTGATTTATTTCTTTCACTCGAAACATTTTCCAATACAAAAACATCTTACGTAACATTAAAAAACATTCATTTTTCGATTTCTTTTCCAACAAATATTATCTCTTCCAAAACTTAATAATCTTTTCTATTATCCTGTCTACATCTTAATAAAGCATTTAAGAACGTTTAATTTAACCTTACTTAGATTGAATCTAACTCAATTTTCTTATTCGAGCTCCAGAATTTCCTGTGCCAAGATATCACAATAATAAAACGCCAAAAGAAAACTATAATTACAAGTATTTCAGGATTTATATATTTTTCCCTTTCTTCCAATATCCAACGCCTTATTAAAATCTCTAATTACATCACTCGTTATCATTCCTTTTCTATATTCGAATCGTCCTCTCTACTCTTCCTCCATCCCCTTTTCACTCTGCTCTCTGAATTATTCGAAGTATCCGCTCTTAAAATATCGATTTCTACAAAAGCGCAGACGGAATGAACGATTCAAAGGTTATCCGAGGAAAACGAGGACTCTTGAGGCGGGGTGTTCGTGTGAATTATTCGAGAGTGCAGTTTTCTTTCCCTTGGCCGGAAGGGTTGGATTTCGGATGAAAAACCGGGACGAAAAGTCTCATTTTAAGGAGACGTGGTTTCTTAAAAGCACCGCTAAATTTCTTCCTTGTCGTGTATAACATCGCCACCGTTTTAACGAAAGGAACGTCTAATCCAATTTTCTTAATCGACAGTTGGCCAAATAAATTACTCTTTTTAAACGTCTTTTACGTGTAACGAGTCGGTTTCATAGATAAAAGAAGATCTTTATTGCAAAAATGTGAAAGTATATTTTTTTGTAGAATTTATACTACTCTCTTTTTTGGTTATAATATTCTATACGTGGAATTTTCTAAGATCTAAGAAGTTTCATCGTTTTGTTCTTCTTGGTAATAAGTAATTTTCTTACAGATATCTTTATGAAATGCAGTATTGTTATTCATATTTTCTAATATCGCTGAAAAAATAAAAGATCTACGAAATATTTGAAATATTATAAAATATACTAAAATCTAGAATAAAGAATACTATATATATATATATATATATATATATATATATATATATATATAT